GAACGGATCAAAGTCTCAATAGCATCTTGTTGTAGCTGGACATCTGCATTTTGCAAGCCAGCCATTTCTTTAGCAGTTGGTGAAAGATATTTTGAAGCAATAGCAACCTTTTCATCAGCAACATATCCAGATAACTGGATTACTTCCATACGATCTAGCAATGGAACAGGTATCGTGTCTACCACATTAGCAGTGCAAACAAAGAGCACTTTAGAAAGATCAATTGGAACGTCCATATAATGATCTAAAAAGGATGAATTTTGCTCTGGGTCAAGAAGTTCTAAAAGCGCTGATGAAGGATCTCCTTGATGTCCACGACCAATTTTGTCGACTACAATCAATAATGCATGATTTCAATTTGAATAATATAAATACATTACTGTATTGTGGATGTCGGCTAAAAAAAATTACCTTCATCAATCAAAATCAATGGATTTTCGGTCTGTACCTTTTTTAAGGCTTGGACGACTTTACCGGGCATAGCACCAACATACGTTCGACGATGTCCTTTTATTTCGGCAACATCAGTAAGACCACCGACGCTAAACCGATAAAATTGCCGCGATAAAGCTCGAGCAATTGATTTTCCAATAGAGGTTTTACCAACACCTAATAAAATCGTTAGTCACTGTTTTTTAGAAAAAGTATGGATTCAGATATGCGAAAGTTATGACAACGTTACGTACCGGGAGGCCCAACAAAGCACAAAATTTTTCCTTCCACAGTGCCTCTTAGTTTACCAACGGCAATGAATTCTAATATCCGATCCTTTACATCCTGTAGCCCGTAATGATCATCATCAAGCACTTTCATGGCATGCTTAATGTTGTAATTCTCTGGAGAACTTTGGCCCCATGGAATCTGGGTCAACCAATCTAAATAGTTACGCGTAACATTGAATTCAGAAGCTGCGGGCTCTAGATGAGCTAGTTTATTGATTTCCTGGTGAAATGAACGAAAGACTGAGAATGAACAGAACATTTAAGAACAATCTATGTCACATACAAATTT